TTTTCCAAGTCTTGGATTTTTTTGTGGGGGGGGGGGGATGGTTAACTTTTTGTTTTCAATAATGCATTAAGGGCTGCGTTTAAGCCGTGTCGAGTTGATCAAAAGGATCACAGGATAGATTTAGGCTTTTTTTATAAAAAAGACAGGACAACTACAAGGACGTATCGGCCAAACGGCTTCTTCAGCAGGCATGACAAAACAAGAAACAACAAAAAGAAATTGATTTTTTTTTAAATGTGTGTTGGAAGATTACGAACTCAGTGTAGGTTGAAAAAATTATTTCCTTGCAAACTTGGTAGTTACGACTATGAGCTTAAGACATGTATAAATTACGACCGTGAGCTTAAGACATGTATAAATTACGACCGTGAGCTTAAGACATCTACAAATTACGACCGTGAACTTAAGACATCTACAAATTACGACTGCTTACTTAAGAGATCTACAAATTACGACAGCTTAATTAAGACATCTACAATTTACGACTGCTTGCTTAAGACATGTACAAATTTACCAAAAATCTTTTTTTTTTTTTTATGAAGAAGCTCAGAGGCTTAATCGGCTGGTCTTGATGTCGTGTTGCAATGAGACTTTAGAAAGCTAAATTTTAACTTTTATAACTTGAAGCTATAATTGCGCACTTCCAAATGTACAAACCAAAATTATGCGTCTGGTTGGTGGGGAATAAAAAAGAAAGCAGCCAACACGTTTATTTCCTCCCCCCCCCCTTTTTACACCCCAACTCCAAAAATCACAAAACAAATAAACTATCAGCTTGAAACCTAATTAATCTGTGCGCCAAACACGGCCAAACACGGCCCTTTGCTCACCATTGACCAGGTACTGATTTAAAAAGCGATAACTCGAACTGAAACTGACCAAAGAAAAGTCCAAATCTTTCAAACCTGCAAGTATAGGGCAGGTGCAAAGAGTTGCTCTTTGGTGGAGCCGCCCCTGGAGTAGCCTGCTGTTACAGCAGCCGTCACAGATAAGGCCAGCATTCTCACGTGTGACCTTGTGGTTTTGGGATGATGTTGTGTCGCATGGCTTTAAGGAAAATAGTGAAGGTAGTGAAGATTGTGGAAATGGTGAAGGAAGTCGACAGTGTTTGAAAATATCGTGAAGATAGTCGACAGTATTGATTAATCTGCCTGTGTTTATATTTCTTCCCGAACGGTTTGGTGTATTACTATCATTCATGCTAATCTTTTGGTTATTATCGTTAAGATATTTTGTTGTTGATTGTGCTTTGTTGCCATTGGTTATGGCAAAATCATATAACAATGCTCTACATGTCCATTACTCAACGATCTAGTGTCGCCTACTACATTTTAGCAGTGTGTACATGTGTACACTTTTTGTGCATATTTTTAGTGCGTATTTGTATAAAATTTTCGTTTATGGTAAAGGTGTGCATTTTAAAAAAGATTGTGTTTGTTTATATGAGTCTGTGTGTAAGTTTATGCATGTTCTTTGGTGTGTAGTTAGTTTCTTTATTATCCTTATGTTTTACATGTGTAGCATTTGACTGAATGGAAGTGTTGAACTAATTCTGTCTCTGAGTTTAGGCACAACTTAATCTATTTCAATGGCAGCCATCATTGTATTTTAACAATTCTATTTTTCCTTGTTGTTATTTCAGATATGCTTCCAGACATGCAGCATCGACGCACGTTTATTTTCGATTATCGCCTCCTGCTAGGCTTGTGCATAGTCTCCCCTTACGTCCTCTCGGAAACATTTGGTCAGTCCGAACTTGTGTATGAGTGGACATCACTCGAACTGGACTGGCCTTCGGACACTGAGAGGAACCAGGCTTTGAGAAGTGGGACCTATGTGCCAGACAGAAATGTCATAGCTGGCATTAAGGTTAGAGATTATGATGTATCTTTGTGCCGGAGTGACCTGCAAATGTGTCTTCTATTTCCAACCATACAACCACCGTTTTCTGTACATTCACACAATTCCCCGGAATGTCCCCGATATTGACGAGTATTTTTGCTCGATTTCCCTGAACATTCACACCGTTTCCCAGCACATTCCTACCATTGCCCTGTACTCCCACCCCACCCCCCAAATTGGCCCTGAAAATCCATCATTTCCCAGCACATTCCTACCATTGTCCTGCTTATAAACCACCAATGTCCTTTTTCACATTACGACCATTCCTTAGAACATCCCTACCAATGCCCAGTCCATTCCCACCATTTTCAGCACATCCCCACCAATGCCATGTCCATTCCCACCATTTTTCAGCACATCCACACCAATGCCCTGTCCATTCCCACCATTTTCAGCAGATCCCCACCAATGCCCTGTCCATTCCCACCATTTTTCAGCAGATCCCCACCAATGCCCTGTCCATTCCCACCATTTTTCAGCAGATCCCCACCAATGCCCAGTCCATTCCCACCATTTATCAGCAGATCCCCACCAATGCCCTGTCCATTCCCACCATTTTTCAGCAGATCCCCACCAATGCCCTGTCCATTCACCCATTTTTCAGCAGATCCCCACCAATGCCCTGTCCATTCCCACCATTTTTCAGCAGATCCCCACCAATGCCCAGTCCATTCCCACCATTTNCAGCAGATCCCCACCAATGCCCTGTCCATTCGCACCATTTTTCAGCAGAACCCCACCAATGCCCTGTCCATTCGCACCATTTTTCAGCAGATCCCCACCAATGCCCTGTCCATTCCCACCATTTTCAGCAGATCCCCACCAATGCCCAGTCCATTCCCACCATTTTTCAGCAGATCCCCACCAATGCCCTGTCCATTCCCACCATTTTTCAGCAGATCCCCACCAATGCCCTGTCCATTCCCACCATTTTTCAGCAGATCCCCACCAATGCCCTGTCCATTCCCACCATTTTTCAGCACATCCCCACCAATGCCCAGTCCATTCCCACTATTTCCTAGCACACCCCCACCAATGCCCAGTCCATTCCCACTATTTCCTAGCACACTCCCACCAATGCCCAGTCCATTGCCACCATTTCCTAGCACACCCCCACCAATGCCCAGCACATTGCCACCATTGCCCTGCACATTCTAACCCTAACCATTAGTAACACAAAAGGCTTATCTATGTCACGTGACACAGGAACATCAAACTCATCCCTATTTCAACAGACGGGATTCCCCCAATCCAAATCCACATATTTTGTTGTCGCTTTACGTTCTTTTTAATTTTGGTTGTTAATTTTGTTTGTGTAAAGAATCCCAATACTTATACTTAGTGAAGTTTTACTTTGCGCGAATATTGACCACAGCGTTATAAATGGACATTGGCTTATTATTGTAGAAAATATGAAGATTTCGCTATGAATATTCGACTTTAAGATTAAAAATTTTTTTTAAGTAGTAAGTTGTGTTTTTTTTTAAAATTATTTCTTTAAAAGCATCATAGTTTAACATTACCATTAATTTCCACGCATTTGAGATGTTTAAAAACATGGTCTTTGGTGAATTTGATGGGAATTTCACTACAATTTAGTGACTTATTGAAAGATATCAAGAAAAACGGCAGATACATATTTTAGAATGTGATTTCGCCATAGGAAAGACGGATTACCTCTACATACATAAGAGCCAGATCAACACACTGATCGTGGGCCCTTAATATATAGAAGAGGAAGAAGACGCGAATGTCAGCCCTGCTATATTATATCATGATATTAACTGTATAACAACCATCCGACAACAGTCATTGGACGGCCTGACGTTCTGTGTTTGGTGTGCAAGTCTTCAACAGAATGATTCATTTCATTTCTCTCTTGATGTTTTCAAGCTACCTCCAAGGGAGGCTACTGCCGGCAAAGAAAATTACACTTGAATAAGTTGAACTTATTTCCCGTTTTAAATTTTTATATTACTTTTAGTGGGTAAATTCCTATATTACTTTTAGTGAAAAAATTCCAAATTACTTTTATTGGGAATATTCCTATATTACTTTTATTGGGTATATTCCTATATTACTTTTAGTGGGTAAAATCCTATATTACTTTTAGTGGCAAAATTCCTATATTACTTTTAGTGGCAAAATTCCTATATTACTTTTAGAGGCAAAATTCCTATATTACTTTTAGTGGCAAAATTCCTATATTACTTTTAGTGGCAAAATTTCTATATTACGTTTAGTGGCAAAATTCCTATATTACTTTTAGTGGCAAAATTCCTATATTACTTTTAGTGGCAAAATTCCTATATTACTTTTAGTGGCAAAATTCCTATATTACTTTTAGTGGGTAAATTCCGACATTAATTTTAGTGGGTAAATTCATATATAACTTTTAGTGGGTAAATTCCTATTTTACTTTTAATGGGTAAATAGCTGTGGAGCTTTAGTTTTGGGAGAGAATAGAAAGAAATCTAAGAACATTTGCGGTCGCTTTAAAAAAAAAAAATTCAGCGAATTTGTTCCTTAAATTATTTACTAATTTTTAAATAATTATCATGTGTCGAGAAATACACAAGTTAAAAATCATCAGCATTCGTTTCTATTAGCACGCGTTTAGGTAAGAAGTAACCTAGGTAAGAAGTAACCTAGGTAAGAAGTAACCTAGGTAAGAAGTAACCTAGGCAAGAAGTAACCTAGGTAAGAAGTAACCTAGGTAAGAAGTAACCTAGGTAAGAAGTAAGCTATGTAAGAAGTAACCTAGGTAAGAAGTAACCTAGGTAAGAAGTAACCAAAGTTTTTACTTTGTTAATGTTGTTTTCTTTTTTTTAAACGTAATTAAGTAAACTATTTATAAAACTGTCCACAGGTCTACAAGAATGACGTCTATTTGACCGTCCCACGATGGAGCTGGACATCCGGGGTTCCAATTACACTAGCCAATGTCGTTATGGTTCAAGGTCAACCAAAACTTCACCCTTTCCCCGACTGGGCCACCCAAAAACAAGGCGACTGCCGAGCTCTCCAGTATGTTCAGAGTATGGAAATTGACCCCAACACTGGACTCCTCTACGCCATCGACACGGGACGGGTTGGGATCGGGTTTGGGTTGAACCCCCTTAATCTGTGTCCACCGAAACTCGTCGTGTTTGACCTGAACACCAGACAGGAAGTGGACAGGTACGAGTTTCCGGAAAACGTCGTCAGCAACGACAACAACTTTCTCAACGACATCGTCCTTCACTACGTCGACGGGCGAGTCAGGTACGCGTACATCAGTGACGTCAGTGAAGGACGTCTCCACGTTTACGATTTCGAGACCCGCTCCTCCCATAATTTTGAGGACCCTTCGATGCTGGCCGAAGGCGGTAACGGAAGTGTCATACACATCAACGGTAAAGATTACACTTTTCAAGTCGCTGTGGACGGAATCGCCATCTCCCCAGACTTCAAATATCTATACTTCTGCCCCCTCAGCGGCTACAATCTTTACCAAATCCCAACATCAGCGCTGACCTCTTCTACAGCAACAGACACCACAAAGCCGAGGATGGTGGGCAAGAAGGTTGCACAAAGTGGCGGGATCGCGTTTGGTACCAAGCGCCTTTACTTCGGAGCCATGGGGATGAACGCGGTGTACTACTGGGACGTCGAGGCGGATCAGCTGACGCAAAGGGTTGCTACTTCTGGTGTAAAGATGGCGACTCAGACGGAAGTCGTTCGAAATGACGCAACCATGCAGTGGCCGGACACCTTGGCGTTCGACAACCAGGGTTGGTTGTGGTTCGTGTCCAACCGTCTCCAGCTGTTCGTCACCGGTTCTATGGACTTCACCGGAAGTGATGGCGCCAACATGAGAGTCTGGAAAGTGTTCGTCAATGAGACGGGTTACTTGTGTGACGCGGACGTACGTACAAGGACGACAATCGTTGGGTAGATTCGATCGATTAAAAACATTACTCTTTATTATCACATAAATGTTGCTCTTTTTTTAGTATCATATATTACTACTAGGGTTAGGGTTAGGGTTAAGGTTAGATATATTAATGTTTAATAATAATAGTGTCCCTTAGTTAATTCTTCATATATTGGTTTCTTCGTATGAAATTAAAAAAACAAATTTCAGCTTAGTTTTAAAATATTTTTTATTTCATATACAGCTATTTTGCGTGTAAAAAAAACAGTTTAGTCAACTACATCAGCATGTTACATGAACTATTTCTTGTTACGCTATCATCTGTATCTACGGTTTCTTTGCCTTACATTCCAAGGTTAGTTTCCATTCTTCATAGTTGCAACGCTCTTCGGCGTTCATTTTTTACATAATAATTAAAGTCTTGTAACAATTGAGTTAAAAATTAAAATTTGACACATTCTTGGATGAATTCTGTTTTTATTTTAATTTATGGCATCATTTAATTTGATTTTGTAATTTTTCGTACCATAGATTCAAGTTTTTTTTTTTTTTTTAAATATCCAAATATTCATATTATTTTTATTTTTACATTTTCTTTTTAAATTAATGAAGATCACATACGATGCTAGGTGGCCGAGCGGTCTAAACTGTGGTGGTTCGGAGTTCAATCCCCACCAAAGCCATCCCAAGCACCCCGGGTGGATGGGACTCGCTAGCCTTGGACGGCAACCCATCTAAGAGGGCCCCTCAAATATAAGAAGAAGAAGATAAGATATGAGATTCCTAAATTATTCTCTTAGCAAAATAAGAAAAAATGTGTCATATTTGTAAACGTGACAATTCTCCTAGGATATCTTCTTCGCGGAGGGCCAAGGCGATGAAGTGCAACACTCGCTTTAGCGACGACATTTTGACAAGTTGCAGTTTTGATCTCACTTCAACAGATGAGTCTTATTTTATAATTGAATGAACGAACACATTAAATATAAGTCAATGACAGCGTAATAGAATTGTTTGTTTTTTTAAAACATCTACACCAGGGGTCTCAAACTCGCGGCCCGCGGGTCTTTTGCGCCCGATAGATGATATTTTGCGGCCCGCTACTTGACAGCAAAGTTTAGTGTAAATGCGGCCGGCGCGTTTCCCCCATTCTCAAATCTAGAACGTTACACTCCGTGACGGTTTCAGTCGAATCTCACCGACTGGCCTAATTTTGATATTTATTATGTTTGTATAGGTTTCGTTGAGTATAATGGTACAAACCGTTATAAAATAGAACTCAAAGTTTTTATTTTATAGCATTTTATGAGACAGACATGGCCAAAGTGCGGTCTTGAGAAAACAATGTGTAATGAATATACATATATGAAAAGTTTCAAAAGTCAGTTAGTGTCTAATGCCCAACCATAATTGTGTAAATGGTAGCAATCTGTCACAGCATCAAAGAATCCTCATTCAAATTGCCGCTAATGTGTACGAGTGGCGAATGAGGGAAATTCCGTTCCTGTCAACTTGGTCACTTTCAAAGTAGGTTTGGTCAAAAGGACCTCATCTACGATACAATAATAACAATTCCTTCTCCTTCGCATTAATAATTCATAGATGTTGCCTGCTCCTGCCTTCTGTTTGAACAAGTTTTAGATATTGCCTGCTCCTGCCTTTTGTTTGAACACGTTTTAGATGTTGCCTGCTCCTGCCTTCTGTTTGAACACGTTTTAGATGTTGCCTGCTCCTGCCTTCTGTTTGAAGCCGTTTTAGAAGTTGCCTGCTCCTGCCTTCTGTTTGAAAACGTTTTAGATATTGCCTGCTCCTGCCTTCTGTTTGAACACGTTTTAGATGTTGCCTGCTCCTGCCTTCTGTTTGAACACGTTTTAGATGTTGCCTGCTCCTGCCTTCTGTTTGAACACGTTTTAGATGTTGCCTGCTCCTGCCTTCTGTTTGAACACGTTTTAGATGTTTCAAATCGCCAGTGGGACTCGCCACATTTTTATTTTTATTTTATTCTTATTCGTCTTTGTTTAACAGTACCTGATTATTTTCATAGCATTTGTTCGTTGAATATTTTTACTTTAGCTCACCTGGATTATTGATTCATATTCTGGCTGAAGACATAATGCCGTTGACAATGATACACAATGTGACGCTCTAGTTTTTGAGGGCCCTCAATGGGTTTGTTTTGTTGTTTTTTTGTTTTTTGTATATTATTTTTTTTTTAATTAATAAATTTCAGCAGATTGTAACAGTTTTACTTTATTGAATTTGTAATCGCTTTTGTGTGGAATACTTGATGCGGCTCAGTCTCACTCAGACTCTACCTCCTTCGGCCCCCCGGATAATTTGAGTTTGAGACCCCTGTTCTACACCAAACTAACCTGTCATGCCCTACTGGTGTGATCAGTTGTCTCTTTGATGCCCCCCATTCCAAGTCCATATCCCTGTTCCAAACGTTGAGGCACACTGTCAATCTTCAATGACGTCATGAGACTTGCTCTGTTCAAACGTCCTCTTTCATTGGCTGGAACACGTAGCCATAACAGAACATTCTATGATAATCAAAACATAAAGTTCATTCACTTCTGACAAGTGACAATATTTTTTTTTTAATTTATAGCACAGCTGGACTAAATGTAAGAAAAAGTAACACAAACCGCAAATTGTACAGTAAAATATTATTCGAACGGAAAAAATAAAACTAAAAACTTAAAAATAAAATCTGGTTAATGGCCTATATTCTCCAATATTTCTTACTCGCGACGTCCCTTAAAAAATACTTTCTTTAAAATAAATAAATCTCCATTTCACAAATTCTTTTGAACAAATTCCCGCTCAAACAACAAGCTTTCGTATAAGTTGGTTTTGTATAAATTGGTATAAAAAAAAAGTTTAGTATAAATTGGTTTTGCATAAATTGGTTTGTGTAAGAATTTCCGGTAACCGTCTGTCTATTGTGGGTCTAACTGGTCACCTCCACATTTAGTAATAGAGGTGGACATTAAGGGGGTAAATTACCCCAAGTTGGGGTAAACATAATATTCCTTTTGCGAATGAGTGGTCCATAGACATAATAATATGTGAAACGGTGGCATCGCTAGGGTGGGTTAACATTGTGGGTCAGGGGTGGGGGTGGGGAGGGGGGGGTAAACTCCTAGTGTAATAATATTCCATGAAAGTTCATTTTGTTTTGAGGCTCTGACGTCTGCGCAATGCAAGCTGCATTATGATCCGCCGCTGAAAGGTCACTGTAGTTAATAGGCCACTGAAGTTCATAGGTCACTGCGGTTAATAGGTCACTGAAGTTCATAGGTCACTGAAGTTCATAGGTCACTGAAGTGCATAGGCCACTGTAGTTAATAGGTCACTGAAGTTCATAGGTCACTGTAGTTCATAGGCCACTGAAGTTCATAGGTCACTGTAGTTAATAGGTCACTGAAGTTCATAGGTCACTGAAGTTCATAGGTCACTGAAGTTCATAGGTCACTGTAGTTCATATGCCACTGTAGTTCATAGGTCACTGTAGTTAATAGGTCACTGAAGTTCATAGGTCATTGTAGTTCATAGGTCACTGAAGTTCATAGGTCACTGTAGTTCATAGGTCGCTGTAGTTCATAGGTCACTGTAGTTCGTAGGTGACTGAAGTTCATAGGTCACTGTAGTTCATAGGCCACTGAAGTTCATAGGTAACTGTAGTTCATAGGTAACTGTCGTTCATAGGTCACTGGAGTTCATAGGTCACTGCAGTTCATAGGTCACTGCAGTTCATAGGTCACTGTAGTTCATAGGTCACTGTAGTTCATAGGTCACTGCGGTTCACAACTTGGCCCACATTCAACGTGCGTGGGTTCCTCAGCAAATTCTGCACTCAGTGACATTGTCAGATAAATAGAACTTAACCTAACGGTGAAGTTAGTTCTGTTTGCCCCCCTCCCCCTAAACCAGTTACATCCGCGATGTGAAGAGGACACACGAACTCCCTGGTTAAGTAACTGCACTGCTGGTAGTGACGGATCGTAGCGTAAACCTGTTTACCACTTTGGGATGGTCTCTGGGTCAAGTCTCGACGTTCATAATTGTCATGTCGAGTTTTGAAGTGATTCGAGATGGTCTCAGTTTAGATTCTGCATTTCTTAAAGCTTTTCTTCTACTTTTATAAGACGGGTTATTTTTTAGTTCTTTTGGGGTATTTGTTACATAATTGTGTATCCTGTAGCTGATTTGTTCCTTGGTTATGTTTAAGGTTAGGGTTATGGTTGGGGGTTAAGGTTAGGGTTAAATTAGGGTTAAGAATAGGGTTAGTGTAAGGGTTAGGGTTAGAGTTTTGGTTAGGGTTAAGAGTAGGGTAAGGGTTAGGGTAAGGGTTAGGTTAAGGGTTAGGTTAAGGGTTATGGTAAGGGTTAGGGTAAGGGTTAGGGTAAGGGTTAGGGTAAGGGTTAGGGTAAGGGTTAGGGTAAGGGTTAGGGTAAGGGTTAGGGTAAGGGTTAGGGTTGGGTTAGAGTTAAGGTTAGGGTTAAGGTTAGGGTTAAGGTTAAGGTTAGGGTTAGGATTAATGTTAGGGTTAAGGTTAGGATTAGGGTTAATGTTTTGTTTAGGGTTAAAGTTAGGGTTAGGGTAAGGGTTAGAGTTGGGTTAGGATTAAGGTTAGGGTTAAGGTTAAGGTTAGGATTAGGGTTAGGGTTAAAGTTAGGATTCAGTTTAAGATTAGGGTTAGGGGTTAGGTTTAATGATAGGATAGGGTTAGGTTTAGGGGTTAGGTTTAATGATAGGATGGGGTCATTTCGTGACCTTTGAAGCGCTTGGTCATCCTAAACCACGAACGTAATTCCGTCGTTGCCCTCAAGACATGTGTATTATTTGCTGGCGAGGGGGGGGGGCGGCGCGAAGTAGTTCAAGGTCGGTGTGACATAACAGATGATTGATCAAAAGTTCTTATGAAAAACTGCATGAAATTACGGCGTAGGGGACGCAGTTTACGACCAGAACAAGCGTACACGGGACGTCAGTCTAGCCGACAGCATACAAATTAAAATGTGAAACGTGTATCCATTCACTTTCTCCAGGATTCAGAGACTTACTGAAATGATGAATGGATTCAGAGTCTTGCCGAAATGATGGATGGATTCAGAGTCTTGCCTAAATGATTGATTGATTCAGAGTCTTGCCTAAATGATGGGTGGATTCAGAGACTTGCCGAAATGATGGATGGATTCAGAGACTTGCTTAAATAATAGATGGATTCAGAGACTTGATGAAATGATGGATGGATTCAGAGACTTGCTTAAATGATGGATGGATTCAGAGATTTGCTTAAATAATAGATGGATTCAGAGACTTGATGAAATGATGGATGGATTCAGAGACTTGCTTAAATGATGGATGGATTCAGAAACTTGTTGAAATGATGGATGGATTCAGAGACTTGCCGAAATGATGGATGGATTCAGAGACTTGCTTAAATGATGGAGGGATTCGGAGACTTGCTGAAATGATGGATGGATTCAGAAACTTGTTGAAATGATGGATGGATTCAGAGGCTTGCTTAAATGATGGATGGATTCAGAGACTTGCTTAAATGATGGATGGATTCAGAGGCTTGCTTAAATGATGGATGGATTCAGAGACTTACTGAAATGATGGATGGATTACTAGCCTCGCGCGCTTTCTCATTTAGAGCCCCACATGTTCTTTAACTGTCTTGACTCAAAAAACATCTTGATGTATTTGCTGATAAGATGTGTTGATTAATTCAGAGCCATCTGAGCAAGTGTTTCTCTGTGTCACATGATTTGACCTAAGACGATGAGATGCAAAATTGTAGAATTTAGACCACACACACAAAAACGCTCAAAAAAAACAACAACAAAAAATCTTTCTCACCAGGCACGTCTGTGAGTCAGCTATTTGGGGTGGGGGGGGGGGGTAGGTTAGTTGCAATGGTGACCATGGCGGAGTAATTAGTCACCTGTTGTTGTCATGAATTAGGTCAAGTGACTTTCAAGGGCTAGCTGGTCATGATTTAAATACGTCTTGTCAGCTCCTTGTTATTACGACTATTAGTATTATTATTCTTGTTGTTATTATTGCTGGAGGTTACAGAATAATGTTCGCATGCGGTGGCGTAGCTGCATTACGCCGTAAGAAGTGGGCTTAGTCAAGTCCTACAACTCATATCTCTACACAATTCAGGTGAATATTTTGTTTTTCTTTACGGGCGATTTTTCATTTCTTTCAACTTTAAATTATTCTGAAATACAAGACGGGCGCAAATAGCTGCTCCTTATTTCACCCACCCCACCCAGCGAATTAGCGCGTATTGTATCAAGAGTGCAGTTGTAGTAGATCCAGTCATAGACAGGCCGCCGTCCTACAATTTAGGTCCTGTAGCTCTTAGGCTTAGGGTGCGTCTTTGTACTTTTATGAAAACAGTGTGTACACAGTGTGTACAGTCTACAGAGTGTAAAATCTACCCCGTGTATAATCTACAGTGTGTACAGTCTACAGTGTGTACGGTCTACAGTGTGTAAGTCTACAGTGTGTATGGTCTACAGTGTGTACACAGTCTTCCGTTTTAGTTAACATATCGTGCTTCTATTTTTTTCCCCACAACATTTTGATGTACTTTCATGAATCAGAATTCTTTTCAAGCTGACGTGCGGTAGACGTGTGGTGGTAGATACGTTGTGGTGTTAGGCCGGTGTGTGGTGTTAGGTCCGTCGTGGTGAGTGAGTTATTATGGTTGAGGGCGGCTATCCTGCTCTACCTGAGCTGCGTGTTGCGTAGTTGTGCTGCGCGCAAGGTTGAGGTCGCGGCTCGTGTTGAATCGAGTGTGTGTTAAAGAGTGTGTGTTAAAGAGTGTGTGTTAAAGAGTGTGTCTTAAAGAGTGTGTGTTAAAGAGTGTATGTTTTTTATTTCTAGTTGTCGCTACCCGTGTTCCACTTTCTGCGTTTCTCATGGCGTGTAGCTATGGTGTGTAATGATGGTGGGAAATTAAGGTGTGTAATGATGGTGTGTAGTCGTGGCGTTTAGCAAAACGCCGTTTAGTTATTGTGTTATAGTTATGGCGTTGTAGTTATAGAGCTGTAAACATGGCGCGTGCCCAGCTCCTGTGTGTACTACATTGGTTAAGTCATCAAGTTCTTTCCCACGCTGTAATACATCGTACTAGCACTGAATCAACTCAAAGACCTTTAGCATAATAAATGCAACTTTAATATATCATGAATATTCACAGTCTGTTTATTCCATAAACACACGAATCGCGCAGCTCGCTATCAGACAGAGAAATCAAACACAATCTCCTGTCACAAAGTTCCTCTCAAGACTGGCAGTCGAATCAAATGTTTACTTCACACAACAGACTAGACGATACGTCATAACAATCCTAAGCATACGTCACCAAGTCTAGCGCGGGAAGAGCGTTCACTAACCAATTAATCTCTCAAGAACACACCGCGCCAAATCAAACATAATATCAAGTGGCAACAATCATTAAGGAACTCTCATACTCAACCGCTTGTTGTAATGGAATGTAAACATGGCGCTGTAGTCATGACACGTAGTCTATATTTTATTATTAGGATTTTTAAATGTAAGTTTGTTTTCAACTTTTTTCCCCTGACTTTTATGTTAAACAGTATTTTTGAATGGGTTTATCAGTGTTTGAATGACTGTGTTTAGGTTTAACATGAGTTCATTGTCAAACCCTTCCAAACTTTTATATTTTAACAAATTTCATTTTTCTGTTTCAGACGTGATTTCGCACCGTCATGTTTCACCAGCACTCCCCTATTTTCGATTGCCTCCTCCTCCTCCTTGGTGTGGCCATCCTCACTCCCTATGTACTCTCGGAAACATTTGGACAGTCCAAGCTCGTGTACGAGTGGACCACACTTGAACTGGACTGGCCATCGGACACCGACAAAGCAGAGGCGTTGAGAAATGGCAGCTTTGTGCCAGAGAGGAACGTCATCGCTGGGATAAAGGTAACAGGAACCATATGCCCTCTACATTTACTTCACAAAACTCCCTACAATGCCCTCTACATTTTACTTCACAAAACTCCCTACAATGGCCTCCATTTTACTCTACATACGTCTTCTACATTGCCCTGCATATTCCTCCATGCTGCCCTGCATATGCCCTATACTGCCATGCATATGCCCTCCATAATGCGCTGTATATGCTCTTTTTATAGCCCTACGTATGTTAAAATGCATATGCAATGTCTCTTCTATAGGTCATCTGAATACCTGTTTAACATACGCAGTAGAGCTCATGGTCCACTGTAATACACATTCACATTGATCCACTGTAATACACATTCACATTGATCCACTGTGATACACATTCACATTGATCCACTGTGATACACATTCACATTGATCCACTGTGATACACATTCACATTGATCCACTGTGATAAACAACACAGTAAGGATATTGATACACTTTAAAAAAATAGGATTTTTGTTTTTAAATTTATTTGTTTTAATTTTATATAAATTTTAAAGGGAGAATATAAGGGAATCATTTTTTTATTTAAATAACCTAAGTCTTCTCCCTTTAATTATTTTCTGTTTCTGCATATGGAAAGCATGTCCAGCAACCGAGGGCGAATTATTGACCTAAAACGACAACATATAGTCTAACCAAAGTAACTTCACCGCTCAAACGTGTACCTCGGTTTGCATAGTCGTACGTAATTGGTTAATTGTACATTCATTAGGATAACTGGAATCAATAAGTTGTGCTCAGCCCTACCGTCACTGAAAGAGCAACAAATATTTCCAGGATGTATCAGCGATCATTTCTTTTTTTTTTTTTTTTAACGGTGTGTCAATGGCGGAAAAACCTAAAACTAAACTTGTGCAAGACATAGAAAGTTAATGCTAGTTGAAATAATGAGAGATGCTTCACAGTTGCTACATACACAGATGCTACATAGATGCTACACAGTCCGATGATGTTTGTACATAAATACAGAAAACGCAAATGTGGTATAGAAATGATTTTATTATTTTATGTAAAATAAACCTTTCTTGGGTTAAAAAATCATCACTTTTTTTAAAAAATAAAAAGACAACATTTTTTTGTTCTGAAAACAGATGTCAATCAACTCACGTATTTATAAAACTTTCCACAGGTCTACAAGAATGATGTCTATTTGACCGTCCCACGATGGAGCTGGACATCCGGGGTTCCAATTACACTAGCCAAGGTCGTTATGGTTCAAGGTCAGCCGAAACTTCACCCTTTCCCCGACTGGGCCACCCAAAGGCAAGGCGACTGCCGATCTCTCCAGTATGTTCAGAGTATGGAAATTGACCCCAACACTGGACTCCTCTACGCCATCGACACGGGACGAGTTGGGATCGGGTTTGGGTTGAACCCACTTAATCTGTGCCCACCGAAACTCGTCGTGTTTGACCTGAACACCAGACAGGAAGTAGACAGGTACGAGTTTCCGGCAAATGTTGTCAGCAAAGATACCAACTTTCTCAACGACCTCGCCCTTCATTACGTCGACGGGCGAGTCAGGTACGCGTACATCAGTGACGTCGGTGAAGAGCTTCTCCACGTTTATGATTTCGAGACCCGCTCCGCCCACAATTTTAAGGACCCTTCAATGCTTACAGAAAGTGGCAATGGAAGCATCTTACACATCAACGGTAAAGATTATCCTTTTAAAGTCGCCGTGGATGGCGTTGCCATTTCTCCAGACTTCAAATATCTGTACTTCTGTCCCCTCAGCGGCTACAATCTTTATCAAATCCCAACATCGGCGCTGACCACTCCTACAGCAACAAAATCCGCAAAGCCGAGGTTGGTGGGCAAGAAGGTCGCACAAAGTGGTGGAATCGCCTACGGTAACAGAAAACTTTACTTCGGAGCCATGGGGATGAACGCGGTGTACTACTGGGACGTCCAGGCGGATCAGCTGACGCAAAAGGTCGCCACTTCCGCCGTAAAGATGGTGACACAGAGAGAAGTTGTCCGTAACGATGCAACCATGCAGTGGCCGGATACCTTGGCGTTTGACAACCAGGGTTGGCTGTGGTTCGTGTCCAACCGTCTCCAGCTGTTCGTCACCGGTTCTATGGACTTCACCGGAAGTGATGGCGTCAATATGAGAGTCTGGAAAGTGTTTGTTAATGAGACGGGTTACTTGCATGACGCGGATGTACGTACCAGGGCTGGGGCTTCTAACCAGGGAGGCAATGCCCGGGACTGTGGGAAGACCCACGAAATCAGTTTATCTGCATTTGTGTTAGTATTTTTGATCGTGGGGTTGCGTGAAATGTATTTTTAAATTTGAAACGAGAATGCTGGAAATGTTTTTGAAATCATGACGGGGTACTGCACTGCAATAAGTTTGAGATTCCCTGTAATTTGACAACTGATATTGTTAGAATTTATCTTTTTAGCAATACTAAAACCAAATGCCATGGGAATATTTTAAAAAGACCAAATTATCGCCAACTTGAAGTATTACGTTTTTCATACAGTTAGCACATGCAATAAAAATCTAAACAAATTCAATTATTGTTTTGCGAATAATTTTATTGATATTAATTGATGGAACATGTTCCTAAACCCTCAGTTGTAAGAAAAGGGAACTATTTGTTTACTCTTCTCTGGGATTGCATTTGATTCTAAATTTGAGTCATGTCTTTAGAGCAGTGGTTCCCAAACTTTTAGACTCGTGGAACCCTTTTTGAATAACTTTTTTTATCAGGGTGCCTCTTATGCCTACTTTATTTTTTTTTAAAACCCTCTTAAAGTAGGCACGGAGGGAGCAGTCGTGGTGCCACTAAGAAAGGTACACGAAGCTCATTAAGGCTCCTCTAAGGAAAGAATGGGAACCACTGCCTTAGAAAATATAATTAAAGAATTAAAGATAATTTTTCTTGAAACCTCTGGGCAATTTTTTTTCTCTAAAATCTATTTAATGAAAATCAGCAACAACAAAAAAAAATATTCTTAAAATCCAAAATTTAGACTCGGGGCAATACTTATTTGCGTGGCCAGATTTTAAGCATGACGTCATGCTTCAAGTACATAGATGTACAAGAACAAGATTAAATACACACGGGCCACAAGTGTGTTGTACAAGTATGATGCACATGTATTGTGTACAAGTATGATGTACATGTGTAGTGTAAAAGTATGGTGCTTGTATTCCAGCCTCTAAGCATGTTTTTTTTTTAAACGCGTCGCTGGAGAGGCGAAAAAACCTTAGCAGATGACAGTGGCGTGGCTCTCCCTGCCCCAACCCCCCCCCTCCCAACATTTCTCTATTTCCTAACTAACCCTTACCACACCCTAACTCACACAGCATGTCACGTGCTCATGCTGATCTTTCTTAACGAGGCATAACTAGGATTTAAACCATTGATCAAAGATTCATCACACTGTTGACAGCTTGGATACCTACGTCTATATTTTCATTATAGAACTATGAGGCTGTTTATGACATAAGCCATGTTTGCAGGAATGCCAATGACATGCTGTGCCCTGGATATAAACAGTGCACAACTGGCCTATGACAACGGCTTGCCAATATAAATTTATGTTTTATTGTGTTCATAAAATTCACCACTTGATCTCTCCCGTAGAGATGCGACCTTATTATTTTTTTAAAAAACAAAAAACAAATAAACATGAAATCAAACTTAGCTATAACTCCATGTATTTAAATCACCACATATTTAGTGTTTTCGGCTGCGAGGGAGGTGGGGAGGAGGGGGGTGGGTTCACCCGTTGCGCAAGGCTTCCAGGACGTGCCTCAGACTTGATTCAACAGCTCTGAACCGGTAACTTGACAGCTGTGGACAGAAACACGTGGAAAATTAATCATTTCAAAATGATGCAGTAATCTGGCGTAAGTAGTTTTCTTTTCAACCTTTCCTCTTTTTCTACACTTAATAAGCTGATATGTGTGCGAGTTTTTTCTTGCTGCCGTGAGTAACCAAATCATTTTTTTTTTTAAATAGCAACAAAATATGTATGTTAACTGTAACGCTTTTGTTCCCAATGATACAGTCTGACTGACCTGATACCAGCTCGTTGGAAACACCCCCACCCCACACACACATACACAAAAAAAGCTTTATACATGAAGAAAATTACCTTCCATTGACACCCCAACAACGATCTATTATGAATGGACTGGCAGTTTCGTTTGACCAACATAGCAAATCCAGCTTTAAAAAAACTCGAGAGGCCTTGTACTGGAAGTTGTTGGGTTTTTTTTAGTATAGCTTTTTGCTAGGTGATCAGTGTTAAGACAATTGGATGTACTCGCTGCATGCAATGAGAGATATGCAAATTAACTCATCCGTCAGTACTAGACACGCCCATTTATCTTAGACATGTCAGATACGTCAATTCTGGACATGTTCATTGATCTACACTGACTTAGGAATCCAACAAAATAGAAATGTGTTTAAAAATGACCTAACAGAAATGTGTTTAAAAATGACCTAACAGAAATGTGTTTAAATTTGACATAACAGAAATGTGTTTAAATTTGACAAAACAGAAATGTGTTTAAATTTGACATAACAGAAATGTCTTTAAACTTGACATAACAGAAATGTAATAAAACTTGACATAACAGAAATGTCTTTAAACTTGACATAACAGAAATGCGTTTAAACATGACATAAAATAAATGTGTTTAAACTGAACATAACAGAAACATGATTTAAGCTTGACATAACAGAAATTAGTCTAAACTTGACATAACAGAAATGTCTTTAAACTTGACATAACAGAAGTGTGTCTAAATATGACATGACAGAAATGCGTTTAAACATGACATAACATAAATGTGTTTCAACATGACGTAACATAAATGTGTTTGAACATGACATAACGTAAATGTGTTTAAACATGACATAACAAAAATGTTTTAAAGGTGATACGAAAGACCCCTAAAGCACACAGATCGAGTTAAATGTTTGTGTGAGTGTGTCTATATGTGTGTGTGTGAGTGTGTCTGTATGTGTGTGAGTGTCTATGTATGTGTGTTTAGAAGTTTACATGTGTGGGTCTAGATATGTGTGTGTTGGGTTTTTTTAAAAATAGTGGCAAACTGGCACAATTATAGTGACCATCTAACACAATCATAGTGCCCAACTGCCACAATCATTGTGACCAACTAGCACAATCATAGTGCCCTACTGGCACAATCATATTTGCCAACTTGCACAATCATAGTGCCCAACTGGAACAATCATAGTGGCCAGCTGGCACAATCCTAGTGGCCAACTGGCACAATCATAGTAGCCTACTGGCATGATCATAATGCCCAACTGGCACAATCATTGTGGCCAACTAGCACAATCATAGTGCCTTACTGGCACAATCATATTTGCCAACTAGCACAATCATAGTGGCCAACTGGCACAATCATAGTGGCCAACTGGCATAATCATAGGGGCCAACTGGCACAATCATAGTGGCCTACTGGCACGATCATAGTGTCCAACTGGCACAATAATAGTTCCCAACTGGCTCAATCATAGTGGCAAAAAAGCACAATCATAGTGCCCAACCGGCACAATCATAGTGGCCAACTGGCACGGTCATAGTGTCCAACTAGCACAATTATAGTGGCCAACTGGCATAATCATAGTGGCCAACTGGCACAATCATAGTAGCCAACTGGCTCATTATAGTGGCCAACTGGCACAATCATAGTTCCCAACTTTCACAATCATAGTGGCAAAAAAGCACAATCATAGTGGCCAACTGGCACAATCATAATTCCCAACTGGCACAATCATAGTGGCAAAAAAGCACAATCATAGTGCCCTACTGGCACAGTCATAATTCCCATCTAGCACAATCATTGTGGCCAACTGGCACAATCATAGTGGCCAACTGGCACAATCATAGTGACCAACTGGCACAATCATAGTGGCTATTTAAATCAAAGCTGTTAGTCCACGAGTACGACCCACACAAGGCGACGCCTTCGGATCGAACGACTCTGCATCCGGCTGTAGCAGAGACCGGACGAGAAGAGGTCACGCATCTGGGCATCTGGGCATCTGGGCATCTGTTTGAGCAATCAAAGAACCAGGGCCCCTTTTTTTTACAAGGGCCACATATGTGTCACGTGTGAGGGCCATATATGTGTCCCGCCTCAGGGCCATATATTTATTTATTTAGGCATTTTTATCTAGCGCTTACCTTAAAGCTCTAAGCGCTTCACAATCATTAACAACATGGACATTATTTAAATTGCCCTCACGGGTGAGGGCCATACATGTGTCCGAGTGAAGGCCACTGAAGAGTACCGGGTCAGATCGCCAGCTCTACTTTATGATATGTGACGAGTTACAGTGTGTGAAGAAGGCTCAGATTGGATAAATTAACATGATTTTATTGTAACATTGCAATTTTGTTACAATGTAACATAGTAATATTTTAATATCGTGGCATTGTAACATTGTAATATTGGAATATTGTGACATTGTAATATTGTAATATTGTGACATTGTAAGATTGTGACATTGTAATATTGTAATATTGTGGCATTGTAACATTTTAATATTGTAACATTGCAATATTTTAATATTGTGACATTGTAATATTGTGACATTGTAACATTGTAATATTGTGACATTGTAACATTGTAATATTGTGGCCTTGTAACATTGTAATATTGTGAAATTGTAGTATTGTAATATTGTATCATGGCAACATTGGAATATGTTGACATTGTTACATTGTAATATTGTATCATTGTAACATTTTAATATTTTGACATTGTAATATTATAACATTGAAACGTGGTAATAATGTAATATTGTAACATTTTAAAATTGTAATATTGTAACAATGTAGTATTGTAACATTGTAACATTCTATCATTGTAACATTGTAATATTGTAATATTGTAGTATTGTAACATTGTAATGTTAAAACAATGTTATATTGTAACATTGTAATATTGTAACAGTGTATTTTTGTAACATTGTAACATTTAATCGTTGTAACATTGTAATATTGTGAATTGAAGTATTGTAACATTGTAATATTGTACTTTTTTAACGTTCGGGCGTTGTAACACTGTAACATTGTAATATGTTTGTAAGATTTTTTTTTTAAATATATCATTTCTCTTGACCTGAGCGTCGTTTGTTATAGATATTTGTTTGTCTGTTTGTTTTCTGGATTATGACAGACTTTCCAATCATTAAAAATGTTTTGCTTTGGCGAACTTTTTGCCAGCGTGTTTGCATCCACTACCAATTTGAGGACCTAAAAAGATTGAGTTCCCCACCCTCCACCATATACATTTATATTGAAGCTATTCTAGGGCTGTGTGGGGGTGGGGAGGGGGGGGGGTTGGGAGAACGACATGCTGCCGTTAACAAGATAGTGACGAATTTTTAAATTTCTTAGACTGGTACTTTATTAAACGGCAAGCAGTTGCTGGGTGGCCGAGCTTGGTGGCAGAGTTGGGTGGCCGAGCTGGGTGGCCGAGCTGGGTGGCCGAGCTTGGTGGCAGAGGTGGGTGGCCGAGCTGGGTGGCCGAGCTGGGTGGCCGAGCTGGGTGGCCGAGCTGGGTGGCCGAGCTGGGTGGCCGAGCTGGGTGGCCGAGCTGGGTGGCAGAGTTGGGTGGCCGAGCTGAGTGGCCGAGCTGGGTGGCCGAGCTGGGTGACAGAGTTGGGTGGCCGAGCTGGTTGGCCGAGCTCGGTGGCCGAGTTGGGTGGCCGAGCAAGGTGGCCGAGTTGGGTGGCCGAGTTGGGTGGCCGAGTTGGATTACCGAGCTTGGTGGCCGAGCTGCGTGTCCGAGTGGTCAAAACTGAGTCAACCTCAAGTTTGTGGACTGGGGTCACTACCCAGCAGAAGCCTAGACAAGCATAAAACCTCACCAGCACACTGAGTGGTATGGACTGATTAATCTGG